TGATTATTATCTCTCTCTATAGATATAATAATTATCATTATACGATTATAAATATTTTAATACTATATTTATCTTACATTGAGTAGCTTATTTCCTACTATGTATATTGTATGCAAATGATTACGGTATAACGGAAAAGTGAAAACTCACAAAAATCATATTGATCTCATTATACAAAGTTATCAATTAAAATCGCTATATACAATAATAATCCCGTATTTCATTAACAAACAACAACCATCTACCGTTTAATGTGAATATGCAATTTTGTTGTTGTTGTGTTTTTGTTATTTTTTATTGGCTTATTTTTTACATTGATATTTATAAAGATCAAATATCATCATTTGTTGGAAAAAAGTACTTATTTCATTAATATGAAGTATTGTTGTTTTTGTTTGGGCATAAAATATGTTAATGGGTGCAATTGTAATTGAAATATATAAAATGTAGGAGATGTGTGGTGGTCTAAATTAATTGTTTTTAAATAAATCATTAAATGTTATAATTTTATATGGATTTTTTTTTTTCATTTTTATTACAAGATTTATTTGTATGTTCTTTATAGCTGTGATTTTATTGGTTGTATATATGAATTGCATATTTTATATGCATTTTCTATGACATTTTACTTTTTTTTTTGTTTCATTTTACATTTTATTATTTACACATCGGTTCTCCTTTTTTATTGTTTGATGATTATTAAATGGTATTTTCAAGCCAACCAGGAAAAATAATATAAAAGGACCTAAATTTATATTTTTTAAATGTAGCCTTAATGATGTCAAGGCTTTTCCGGGAGGATATCATGTGACAATGTACATCTTCTTCGGCTAAAAATGTGAATATAAAAACCTCAAATATTCAAAAAAAGAGAGGGACGCTTGCATGGGAACTCTATCAGAAAAGGTGTCTACAATAAAGAAGACTCTACGAGGAGGTATTTTTTCCTCTTCAAAATGACATAATGTAAATTCTATTCAAAACTACCGTAAAACTTGTAAGGACCTACATTGAAATTATTTGATTATTTAAATCTACATTTTCCAAACGACTTCTATGCTGATATCTGAAATGACAAATTGAATAATGTACATATGACTTTAACTACACCTAAAATGGAACGACCTCTTTATCAATTTTTTTTTATATCAAGACCAAACTATTACACTTTTGCGATTGAAGGACTTCAGGGACCAAATCAAATAGTCTGGGAAATTTTACTTAAAAAAGAAGCCGGTTCCCATATAAAGATACATGTGTCATAGCAAGGACTTCTATTGGAAAATTTCAGCGATGTAGTCTTCTAACCACTTCAGAAACCGAAGTGCCGAACAACAGTTTCATCAGAATTCTATTCTGATCCTTAATATACACAAATTTCCATTTCACGGTGGAGGGAACACAAATACGAATGACAACTATACATAAATATAATCTGTTGGTAGAAATCTATAGATTTGTTATGAATACAATGGACCCACCGAAATAATAAGGGGAAAAGCTAACTTCCAAATTACCTATTTTGACCAGATTTGTTTTTAATATTCTATTTTGAAAATATCTTCCATAGGTTCTCCACGGATGGAAATCATTCTAACACCCTTTTCGATATAACATTTGTCATTTGAAACCTATCAACTTCCCAACATACAAATTTCCCATTTTGTTTCATTACGCTCCATTTATGTTTACATATTACTATAAAATAATTTTCAAATACCATCCGACATAATCGGCATAATTATAAATTTCGCCCATTAAAAATAGTTTAATAGGTAATTTGAGCACTTCATTTATTTACTTTTTTTCGGTTTTTACTAAAACACGAATTACTAAACATAATTTGTAAATCGAAAAAAAAATAAATAAAGCAAATTCCCAGAATTTCTAAAAATTTAAATACTACCGATATTAAAAAACAGACACAACATATTTTTAATAGTTTTACGAGGCATTTTCAGTTGAGTGAGTTATTTACATATTTTTTGGTATAGAGAAACAACAATATGCATTTTATACGAAAAATGTATACGATATTGTTTTTATTCCATGCTCAAATAACGAGTTTATCAAAATGAATGTGTTAATTATAACACAATTGCAACAAATGTTTGGCGCGCAAAATTTCTTGTTTTTGCTGGCGGATATTTTTAAATTGCTATTGAAATGGTTTATGAAATGTTTACAGTTGTAAAATTTTATTATTACCTATTATTTTTGAATTTAGCTGAATTTTTATTAGAATTTAATATGGTAGCGAATACCAACAAAAATTAGAGTTTTATGATGTACTTTTGTGTATGTGTGGCCTACGAACTGAATATAATACCTTGTTTACAATAATATCTTTTTACGAAACCTTTCAAATTGCTCTTTTGAAATATAACTCTCTAATTAAAGAGTGAAACAGGAAATATCACAAATTTTACAATAGTGTTAATGCGGTCCATTAACATTATTTTCTAACAACTTAACTATAAACACACCAGATTTAAGACTGCCGCACTAAAGTACTAAACTTCACCTAACTTTTTCTTTATCCTTGTGTATTTACATTTTAATTATGATACGCCAGGGTAATTCATTTTCTACATAATTTACTGTGATACAGTTTTTAATGCTGCAATTACATCAGCCACAAAAAAAAAACGAAAGTATACAGTGGTTTTGGTACACATCTTAATAGGACTTAAAACGTGCGCCATGTACCACAAATATTAGATAGCTTTTTGTGAAGGAAGAAATCTCAAAACACATATTTTTAGTGTGTTACCTACTTTCCCCCTTCATAAAACCTTCACATTAGAATATTTAAAACATAACTTCTCAAAATCTATCAGAAGTTTGCTTTTCATGAAAATACTAACAAAGATTTATTGGAAAATTTATCAAATATAAAGGATTTTATGTATATACAAGACCTTCGAACATTTTTAGAATATATTCTATATCGTCAGCAAATATTTTAATATGTTTGGGTGTCATTTATCCATATAATAATAAATTATTCTGGTATCATTATTGCGCCAAAATTTCTCAATTTTGAACAGAAATAGAGATATTGGACATAGTTTACGGCTAACCACATCTGCTCATATGACGACGAATCATGGATTAGCAGGATAACTATACCGCAGGTACCCAAACCGAAAAACGGGGATTTAAGTAATGGGAATGTTTTGATAATTATGATTTTTCGTAGTAGGGTTGTTGGGTCAGTAACTATATCATCTGAAGTCTTTCTCCACTGCATTTCCCAGACCAGCTTTAAATGGGTCAGTGAAGTCTATATGTCGGATTCGATCAATTTTGGTCCTCATCATTCTACATAATTACTCTATTCGACAATTGCGGATCGCAAATTGCCGAATTTAATCCAAATTCACTTTATGAGAAACATTTTTAACCGTCTTTATTAATCTCATCATAATTAAGGCTTGGGATGTTAATTCTGCATTAAAGGTAGGATTGGAACACGACTTGTTTCTTGACAGCAGGTGTAGGGTATTCAATCTGTATAAGATTCGCTATATATGATCAAACTATGTTGAAGATATTATATTTATATATAAAAAAAAATACTTTTAATAAAAAAGATAGTTGTAGTCTGTGTCTGTATAAAAATCTCAATTAATAAAAAAGTGGACTTATTGCCTTTTCACGTTAAGCCAGCGATATGACGATTAGCCATGCTCGTGTATTGAAATCGCGCAGGAGCTCGCAATATTAAAGATAGACATTTTATACATTCAATTCTACAGCTCATAGGATTTTTGGAAATATATAGATATTTATGGTTATATTTGTGGTTATATAACCATAAATCAATGATAACCATAAATATATATTATGGTTATATATTTATGGTTATCATTGACCCTTAAAAGGTATATTAAATGCGCACAACATAGAGGAATTTTTCTACATAGGCCTTGTAGGAATATTGCAATACAACATAGGCACAAATTTTGTAGATCCTCATTATGTTATTTGACATTTAACTCCTCAAACTCAAACATACGAATATTTTCTGTTAACCTTAACAAAATTTCGTACAATTTCTCCATTTTGGAACCACAGTTACTGTCTAACCAAAAGAAAAAAGTTCTCCCGCCATTTAATCTGGCTGTGATACTTTACACAAATTAATTACCCTAACTTTTAGCTAAACTTAGTTTTGCTTTACTTGGCATACTTTATATGAATTATTTCAACTTTACAAAATCTCCGGATTCCCCCATTCAACTCTAAATGAGAACCGGGTAATTTGTTCTATGTTCATGATGGCGAAGGTTGGAAAGAAACCCCACCCTGCACACAAAATCACAAAGAAATTAACAGGAAAAAGTTCCCAGTTTGGGTTACACGTTTCCCATTATTTCGTTGTTGTAGCTGTTGTTCGAGGAGGAGTTGTTGCTTGTATTTTACATGCGAACGCATGGTGTTTTCGAAAATCCTTTTTGTTAGTTTATTACCTGCAATTTTGTCTTAACTGCCGCTGTTTTTTCTGTTTTTTGCCGTTGTTCATCTACAGCTTTATGTGCCGTTTTTTTATGTAGATGTCTTCCTTGTTTTTTGTGTTATACTATTGCATTTTTTCCTGGTTGGCTCAAAAAGCACGAAAAGAAGTAGAAGAACATGAAAACAGAGAATCCTTTGTTGTTTTGTTTCCTTTTTTGGTTGTATTTCTTTGCTATGTATTTTTTCGTTAAGTTGCTATGTTGTAAGATCACCCGCCCTCTTTTTGGTACCCAGTCCAAATACAAAATAAAAAGGAGAACGAAAAAAACATATTTATAAAAATGAACCCAACCAGCCAGCCAAACACTGACTGGCAGGCAATAAAGTTAGAAAAGTAGAGAACCGTTAAGATATACTGATGCCACGGCTCCTGCTGTTGCTGCCACTGCTGCTGTTACATATAACACCATCACCACGTACAACATTGGGGTTTATAGCTGCAACAGCAGTCTGTTGTAGTTGTCGTAATTTTTAGCCTTTCATCTAAGGATACTTGAACGACAGGACATCAGGCGGGAAATGTTTGTTGTTGCTGTAGCTTTATTACTGATAGCTGCTATGTTACAGGCCGTTGATGTGACTGTTGCAACCACAACATTAGAAACAGCTGTAGACTTATTCTGCTTCTTGCTATCGGTTAGTGTTGAGGTCCTTGAAATTGGTCCTGGTGGTGGCCGTGGTGATGATGCTGATGCCACTGCTGCGGATGATAAGACCTGTTTAGTTGATATTACTTTTGTAACAGCAGGTTGCCTCGTTTTATGTTGCTTGGCGGCCGACAATGCCGAGGCCGAGGTTGATGGTGGCAACACTAAAGTTCGGGTTATTGTTGTGGTTGCCGTGGCAGCGATTGTTGTAGACATCAAATGTTGTAAACAACATGTTAAAATGGTAAATAACATGCAACATATACTAAAATAGAAATTGCTGCTATGCATTTTACTTGAATTGTGTTGCATGGCGGCCGGATGTTCACCTGAAAATAGAACAAGAAGAAGAAGAGAAAAAGTGGCGATTTGAAAAAAGTTGTTGCTACAAGTTTGTTTTTGTTGTTTTTTATTAGGCCAGTCAGGTTGTAGCAATTTGTTTTGTTAACTGCTTGGTGTGTGTATGTTTATGTAAGTGTGTTTAACGACTAAAGTTCTAGTTGGAGAGATTATTGTTATTGCTCTTTTTGTGACCATTGGTGTTTTGTTGTTATCACTTCCAAACAAACCATGGTTAAAAACAGTTTGAAATAAGTGCTTATATATTCTGGAGGGTTTAAATGGGAGAGGAAGTAATCTGGCAGATATTAAAGGGTTGGGAACTGCCACATTTCAGCAGATAGCCACACATATTATGACGATTTTCAAAATATTTTGTTTTCAATATTTTGATTGATATGATGCGATTGTTCTTGAATAAAATATTCTTAACAAGTTCATGCTTACAGCTTAAAAAATATCTAATAAAAAGTCAGCCTTAAAATTCATATTAGATGTTTATTAGATTTAGGAAAATCATAAGTCCCTTGAGGTATACAAAAAAAAAACATTATGTATGGCCATCAAAGGCCTTGTGATGACATTTTTACGAAATTCGCCACTTATAGAACGACCACATATCTTGAGAAATATTATTTAAATATCCACACCTGTAATCATATTGGACCTCAAGAAATATTCTTTAAAAAAATCCTCTCCTGTGTCTATGATGTATTGGACGTCAAGAAATATTCTTTAAAAAATTAATAGTAATTTAGAAATGTTCTTAAAAAAATCCACCTCTGTGCCTATGATGGGCCTTGGGAAAATCAACGACTCTTGTTTTAATGGTCCTTTAGAAATGTTCTTAAAAAATCCACTTCTGTGGCTATGGTGGTCTTCGAGAAATATTCTTTAACAATCCACTTCTCTGCCTCTAGTTTTAATGGCCCTTGAGAAATATTTTTTTTAAATCCCCTCCTGTGGCTATTATTGATCTTGAGAAATATTTTTAAAAAATCGACGCCTTTTCTAATTGTCCTTGATAAATATTTTTGAAAAATGTACGTCTCGTTTTCTGATGGCCCTTGAGAAATATTTTTTTAAATATATGTTTCCTTTTCTGATGGCCCTTAAGAAATATATTTTAAAAATTTACGCCTCTTTTTCTGATGGCCCTTGATAAATATTTTTTTAAAAATCTATGTCCCCTTTTCTGATGGCCCTTGAGAAATATTTTTTTAAAATTCTACGCCTCCTTTTATGATGGCCTTTGAAAAATATTTTTTATAAATCTACTCCTATTGTTCTCATGGCTCTTGAGAAAAAATTTTCAAGAAACCCACGCCTGTAGCTATGATGACCCTTGAGACCCAACCCCCCATAAAAATCCATTTTAGTTCTTATGAGGGTTCTTGCGAATTATTCTTTAAAAAATCACACATGTGTACTTTGATGGGCCTTGTGAAATGTCCTGTCGTCAAACTTCCTAGTTTCTTCCACATTCCCACATAACAAATAGTTTATACTCAAAAATACATAAATCGCAAAAGTAAAATACTGAAAACAATACAAATACACATACACAATAAGCCGAATTAATAAGAAATTGATACTTAACTTTAACAATGACAACAGCAGCAGCAACAACAACAAACAAGAAAATAAACTTTTTCTATTATCTTTCTAGGGAAAAATAACCAAAGTTTGGCATTGGAAGTTTTCTTTCATTTTGAGTATTGACAGAAATTGTATGTAAATCAAAATAATCAAAGTTTTAAATTAATATCCAAAAACGAAAAGTTTTCAATGGAAATTGAAAAGCAATAACAAGAAATGATAAAAGGATTCTACTACATGCCCAGATGCAACTGTCACCCTTAGCAAAATAAACAAAAACTAATATCCTGACAAGAGAGTCAGCACTGCAGGTGGTTATGGTGGCTCAATACGTAATAGTGTTTTTTTATTATTTTTTGTTTTCAAATTATAATCAGCAATGTGGTTGAATCTTTTCAATGTTGTTGTCGTTGTTTGTTAACAAACTATCATCATCAGTGCCAGTGTCATGAAACATAAAAATGATATTTGTTGGCCCTAAGCAAATTATGTGTTAATTTTTTTTCTGGGTAACAACTAAAAAGGACACCCAACCAAACAAACAAACAATGACCTCTTTCAAAATCATCAACAGCATCATCATCGTCGTCATCATCTTCTTCAACAGCTATGACATTGGTTAAGAGAAAATGACAACAACTTCAGACAGCATCATTGCTTTCATCGGTGTTTTATTTAAGGCTTGAAGGCTTCAAAACAGGATTTAATATTTATGTTGCCGAAACATAGGGTAAGAGAGAGATAGAGTAGGCAAGGAAAATTAAGTAACATAGTACACGAATGCTTTACAAGCACAGATACTCACTCGCACAACCTTTTTTCTACTAAACGTTTGACCCTTCTGGAAAATGTTTCACTTACATAGAAACCAAAACTTAACAACAACAAGAAAAAATGCAAACGAACAAAAAACAAAAAAAAACTTAGCAAATTGTTTCAAAGATGAAAACATGAAATAATACCGGATTCCATAAATGACAGTGGAGGATTAGTGCCAGATGTTTTTTAATCAGTACTGAGAATTTTGTTGCTATTGTTTAAAAATCCGATGTTTAAAAATCCATTCTCTTCATATTAAATTTACCTTCTGTTACCTCCCAGAAGGAGTGCAACGATGGGTCCCATTTTATAGGTTTATAAATTAATTAATGGATTAAATCGGTTAATTCATTCGCCTAACAAATTTTGGCATTTGTGACCAAAGAAATTTACAGAATATGATCACGATGATTGAAACGAAACATGGAACCATTCGTTTCCATGGAACGAAACATGGAACCATTCGTATTGTACACGATCCAAATTTGATCATGTGGGGACTTTTCCTTTTGAGCAACGTAGCATGTCAATTATGAGCTTTTCGTAAAATCGAACAAATAAGAACACGAATCATATATATCAGAAATATGTATAATAGCCCCTAATTATTGAAACTTCAAAAAGTAAACTTCAAAATATAAACCCCTGTAAGTCCGACGCCCTAAAAAATTTTATTCAATAAACATTATTGTGATCGAACTGTTACTCTCCCACTGTGCCCAGCAACCGATTCGACCAAAGACCTTGTTAGCAAAATTGTTTGCTTGCTCTGCACATTGCTGTTACCACTTATGTTTGTAGTTGTCGTTGTTATTGTTGTTGTGCTGGTTGGCATAGCCTCAGTCATTGCTGATGATTTTGTTGGCCAAAGTGAAACACATGTTATTGCATGGCTTTAATGTTGATGCTACACTGAGAACACAACAAAAACAACAATAGCCTGAAGGCATTTTTCTTTAACAAATGTGTTCAACAAAAAGGTGCTGGAGTGTATGTGTGTATATATCTGTGTGCGTGTGTGTGTGTATACGTTTAGTTTTTAGTTGCATTTATGATAAAGTCAAAAAGAATGGTTATGTGCAAAAAATAAGGCTTAAAGGAAAAACTTACGCAAAGCCTGATAGTAAGAAAGCAAAATATGAAATTTTTTTCATTTAAAAGAATTAAACAAAGTCATATGGGGTGTTCAGGGAAGAAAATCACTGTGCGACCTGATATTGAGGGTATACGATTTCCTCCACTTATATATAGAATACAATTATATATTGTATTGGCATACATATTTAAATATAAGTTGTTTGTGTATTAGTGCCAATCTAATTATTTTTTTTTTTTGCTCATTAATATTTCACATTTACAAAGAGAATGAGGTACAAGTGTCACTTCTGTGTTCAAACCATCTATAATATATTTCTACTAAAATTTATGCATTTAAATCAGTTTCCATTGTTGGGAATATATGCATTGAATTTCTCATATATTTTGCCCCCAAACAAATTCATTGTCCTTCTCTTGTTATTCATTTATGTGAAAACACTTAGATATGTGTATGTATGAACATACACAGACACACTCTTCTCTAAACAAAAGAATAAAGTTATCATCTATGGCACAAGGTGATCGACCATTTAAGCACCCCATGTCATTATGATTGTCGTTGTTGTTGTTCTTGTAGTGTTTTTACTACTTCTATGAATATCAAAACTAAATACCCCCCTCAACCACACACTCGCACATACAAACAAACACTCATTTATGCATCCTTGAATTTATAATGAAAAATACAGTTGTTAGATGGAAGCCAACATCTATCTACCACCTTACAAATAAATGCATTGTTATCTCTCTTCTAAATGACAGATTTTCGTATTTTATGAATAATGCTGGAAGCAGAATGTGTTATTGTTGTTTTTTTTCTGTTTCTATCCTGATCTTCTTCATACAAATATTATGGAAATTATGTAGACATCCGGGCAACAGACATTGAAATTATTAAAAATTGTATATGCTTTTTTTTGAAGTGCAATATTTGTTTGCAATTGCATAAATACAGCGGTCGGCATATATATTCTGACTAATATTATTACGAGTAAATATTTTGTATTTTTTAACATAGCTCAGCCTTTGTAAAAATACACGTAATGAAGGGGATAAAGTGATTAAAAAAATAGTATAGGTCCTTACCCTTAGGATTTTTATTCTTTGAGTCTTTAATCTAACACGTTGAAAATACAAAGGCCTCTGAAGCATAAATTCAAAACAAAATTTCGAATTATTTCCGAATAATTTCCGAATAATTTGTATGCATTTAAAGAACCTAATCAGCAATGTCCCGACGTTAGCCGTTAGACTCAAGAGTTTTTCCTTTCTTCAAGAGAAGATCTTCAGTATGTTTGCTAACTACGATGTATATCAAAATTTTGAGGGGTGGAAAATTCTTGTGGGAAAGAAAGCGAGTATATATGGGAAGTATATGAGGAACTCTAAAGGATTAGTTCGCAATAGGACAAGTTTTTGATGTAGCTGGTAACTCTAAAGTTCATGAAGAAAAAAATTTATATATTTTGACATCGCATGTCTTCGGTCATGTCGAATGGGGAATATTTTTGTAAAACTAATTCCACTTCGAGTTAATGCGCGTCTTTTTCGCTCTTATTAAAGCGTAATCTGAATACCATACCATTTTAGATAGAGCCTCCAAAAATTTAAATACCGCCAGACTAGATTTTGCACAAATATTCTACCAAAATTTCGTTCATTTATTTTATAAAAACAATGGATCGATAGTCATCGACATCGATTTTTAGCATAATTTTCCACTTTTCCTCGACTTTTGCGTAAAGGTCCCAATCCATTTAAGGTATTTTTGATGTAGATCACATGGTGGAGTGTATACAAATTTCGACCCGGCAGAACCTAGTTTACATTTTACATTTTAAATACTGTATCATTGTTTTTGTTCCTCATTACTTTTTTGATCAATTCGAAATAAAATAAATTGCAATACAAAGTATATTTACCTTACAATTGCATTCTCTATATATGAAGTGATTCAGCCGAACAGTTTTGAAAATGTAAAAAAAAAAATTGACTCTGACGTTAACCAACTCTTTGATAAGTAAACAAGTAATAACATTTTTTATTTCTACCTGTTCTTCAGATGCAAACAAAATAACAGCATATATCATTTATCAATGCCCAGAAAATTTTCAGCGAATTCAAGGTATATTTATTATATAATAAAATATTGTTATATATCCATCAATCAAAACAACAACATGATGAATAGTATTTCCCTAGAAATTGTTTTGCATATTGCGACCTTGTGTTTGAAATCGATGATAGAGCACAAAGTTTTTTTTGGCAAGAAAAAAATTGTTTTAACTTTTTTTCTCTCACCAAAGAATGAACATTCTGCTGAAAATCCCATACCAAATTCCTAAATCCCCTCTTGACAACATAAAAACAAATATTAAAGCGAAAATAAACAAATTTACAAGTTTTATGATCCAGCAAGAAAATTCAATATATACCTATATTTTTTTTACGAAAATAAATTGAATAAGCTGGAAGAAAAAGAAAAAATATTATACCTTGATGATTTTAATTAAATAACTTTCGTCAGGACTGTTTTTTACTTTTATTTAAAAAATAAGACAATCATCTTATTTTTTTCATTCTCATCATTAAATTGGACTCAGACATTTCACAATTATTAATGAAGATAGTAACAAATGTAAATGATGCTTTACGCTTTTACTTTGGAAATTTCCATTAAAAGAAAATCAGATTTTCATGAAAAAGGTGGACAGTATTTTTTTGGGCATCCATGGAAGACTTTATTTCTGTTGGGGTCTCATAATATATACCGTATCTATTATGAGATCTCTCTACTCATGTGTTCAATTCTCTATGCAACTTGTATTAAGTAAAGTTTTTCAAAATCCTCCTTTTTTCCTCAAATGTTTTTTTTTCTGGCCATACCAATTTCTTTATTACAACCACTTAATAATATTAGTTCCGTTCCAGAACCTAAAAGAATCTACTCATTTTACAAGTTTTGCAGCTTGTTACCCAAAACCCGTTCCTGAACCCCCAAAACAAGTGAAACATTGAACTAAATTTAAGAGAACACAAAACAAAATGGCGTTCTCTTTGTGAAGTTTTTACTCGAAAAATTTGTCCGAGTAAAAATGGTAAACAGGAATGCCAACTTCTGATTGGCTGTTATGTTATTGTTGAAGTATTGCCATCTAGTTTTGGCATATTTACTAGATTTGCGTTCTCGAACTATTCAAATTACTTTGTACTCTGAAAGCGATTTTGAAATGTTTCTCTTTTACTAGCATTATTATCAATGGTGGGCAAAATTTATTAAATTTATTATTTTTAAAGCATAAAAAATATCCCAGGAAGTTAAAAAAATAAATTCATTAAAACAATTTCGGAAAAAAATTTATTAATATTTATTTTTGTTTTAACATCAAAAAATGTAAAGAGAACCCATCAACGCTGGTGTGCAAGTCTGCCCAACTATGATTACTATTAAAAAAGTACTGGAACAGACCAATTATTAACCATACAAAAGTTTTTTGTTTAAAAATAGCATTTTAATTAAAAAAATGTCATTACTGAAAATTTGTTTAATTATAATTCAGTCTTTTGTTTTTGTTGTTTTACACTTACCACTGCCCTTATAATTCGATCAAATTTATAAAGAAAAGCAATATCTCGCATTTACACTTACCTATGATTACATGAACATAGACACTTGATGACTTGGCTATCGTGGGTACACAAGTATAATTTCCCGTATCACTGGGCATGGCACGACGTATTTTCAATCTATTAAATTAAGATGAACAGAAAAATAAAAAAATATATAAAAAACAATATTAAAATTAATTAAATGTCAATTCGAACGCAGGTCATTTGCAGCGAACGATAATGAAGGAAATTTACGCACCTTGATGTCAGGCCATCGGACCAGTCGTTTTCCATGGTAATGCGATTCCCACTATCAATTTCATTTTGATTTGTGGACATGTCAATTATTTCCAGACCTGGGGCAAAAGAGAGAGAAAAAAGAACAAACCAAAATAAATTAAAATTTATTTAATGATATCAGCGAGGAGTGTGGGATTTGAAGCGTTGAGAGCCATGGTGGCTTAAGTGGGTAAAATGTGAGTTGGTTTCCCGTTCTTTAGTTAAGAATTCTCGGTTCATTTTGCAAAACTCTGATCAAAAGAAATCTATGTCAATTTAGGTATGTCAGACAGAATTTCCTTTGAATTTGGATCACAATACAGATCTCAATATTTGAAATATTTAAGATATTGGGTTTTTGCAAATAAGTTTATAGGGCACGTTTTGGACTAGATCCCAAATAAATATACTGTTACATTTTCGGTTTTTCATAAAAACGATTTTAAAACGTAGGAACTGTAATTTGGCATTTCTGATTCTGGAATATAGAGAATAGGAAAAAAATTCAGTATTAGTCAGTACTCGATAAAGCCCGCCACATAAAGTTCACGGCCCTATATATATTTCGGGTGTGAAAAACTCCTCCCAGCATATAATGACCTGGTATATATTCCAGGTGAAGTGCATGTGATTTGGCATTCCGCGTTCTCTGTCGGATAAAAACTGCGAAGAAAATTATGTATAAACTATATAAACTTCCCAATGACAAAAGGACATTTTTACATATTTTGTTTTTTATTCTGTGTTATGACTTACTATAACTCTTATGGTCCAGATTAAATAAATGTAACAAATTATTTTTAAAAAAGTAGATTTTTCTCTTAACCAAATGTGATTACATTGGTCACAATAAACCACAATTAAATTAACGCATTCATTATCTCTAGCCAAAATGAGTGGCAGTTAGTGGGACTCGCTGTTCAACCCCAAACACAATTCCAGTGAAAGTGTGTCTCTGTTCATTTTTTTCGTTTTGTGATTTTGTAACCAGCCATCTGTAGTATGTCGTAAAAATTGTGTGTGCATTTAAAAAAGTGTATGCGGGTGACTTTGTTTAATTGCATATTTTCACTGACTGTGCGTCCCTCTGTCACTGGGTCTGTATATCACTTTCTGTCTGTGGGTTTATTTAATTTTTTATTCAACTTTTTTTTATTTGTAACATTAAGTGGATCAAAGGACAAACGAGCCGTCCACTTAAGCAATGAGTAAATGGTACTTTATGATACAGTGCTTCTTCTTTTTTTTGTTTTTTTTGAAAAAATTACCTTTATACCAAAATATATTGCCCAATTCATGGGGTCCTTGCATAATTTTACAGGTTAAATTTATGTCACTGCCACTTTTCACATACAAATCAGTGGGTCCAATAATGTTGGCCTTGAGTTCTGTAAAGAGAGAGAAATGAAAAAAAACGAATATAAAATACATAAAAATGGCCATGAATATAAGAGAGGATCACATACAATTGCTTTATGTTAAATTAACAACATAAATAAAACATTTAAACCAAACGAAATTACAAAAAATGAAATAAATAAAATCTGTTTTTATGTGAAATGAAATATATTCATAGAAAGCATGTGAAATGTAATTACAACCCCCATTTTTGAGAATATCTCTTACAAAGCCTGTGTATATTTTTTCAATATTAATTTTATTTGAAATTAATCAGACACCCAATTCTTAATGACTTTACAGGACATTGGCTGCAATGCTGCTTTTTATAGAATTGGTTGCAACTTAAGTGTTTCCGTTTCGGTACGTCCCAATTATCGACTTTCGACAAATTGGCCGAGTCTAGCTCCGAAGTCTTCCTTTCAACAGATTTTTAGTAGAATTGTGAAAATCCCCCTTCCGATAATTTGATTAAGCTTGAGAGAGTAGTTGTTCTGGGTTCAAATCCCAGCGAGGGTGGAAAATTTTGTCAACAAGTTTTTTTCGAAAATTTCTAAAAAGAAACATATAACCCTGTCTAGAAATAACCAAAATCTGCATTTACGTCTACACATGAGAATAACACAAAATAGAACAGGAAGGTAAGAGCGATATCTAAGGAAAATTGCTACCCAACCAGTGTAAAGAATTCAAGAAGTCGTTATATCCAGACAACGATAGTTGGCAGTCCAATCACCTAGGGCAGCAGACCTATCATCTAGTTAGCCGGAGTAAAACAATGATTAACGAAACAAACACAAGTAATGTTATAAACTAGGCAATGTTATAAACTAGAATCCTTTAATATAAAATAATGGACATTCTATAAATTTATAGCATCAGACTTCACACATTATGAGATTCTTTGTTATTCAATAAGGAGCCATCCTTCTTCCCAATTCAAATTGAATAACCTTAACTTAATTTTATAGAAAATATCGATTACAAGAAAACATATGACAATATCAATTTACATCGCTTGAAACCTAGCATAAGAAATTTATAAAATATGAAAAAAAACATATTTTCTATGATCTGATAAAAAATATTGATGTTTAAACACATTGGAATATAGATTTTGAAATTCCCATGGCACACACACACACACGTCTGAAATATACCCAATCACCAATCAACGTAAAAAATACACAATAAGGAAAGAAAATAAATTCCATTCTCTATTTTAAGCCTTTTTCCCTAAGAATGGAAATAAGAAAAATTTGTAAAGAAATGAAAAATACTAAGCTTTTTTTCTTCAAATAAAGAATTTACATATAATCTGTAAATGAAAAGGAAAAAATCTAAGAAAAATTTAGTATTAGAAATTCAATACATTTTTATGTTTGAATGTTTACTTTCAAGAAAACATGAGCTTTCGAAAATAATTCATATGAATATACACTTAAATTATAGCAAATCCAATACAAATAATATATTTTTAATAACATCGTTAAAATATATACTCGTTATCTATAGTTTCCATGGAAAGTTTTTTTAAGTATTGTGGTATTAAATATACAAAAGAGGAACTGAAGAATTATGGTTTCTTTTATCATCTGAAATTTGAATTTTCCTTAAAATGTGTTTTCTCTTTTCCTTGGTTTGTCTGTGTGCGTGTCTGTGCAATTTGAGTTTCAGTTTATTTGTGCATGCTTTTCCTCTTTTTTTTTTTTTTGCTGTTGCGAGAGCATTGAATGCAGTCATTTCTCTTCACTTCCGTTTTTGGCTGTGTTTCGGCTTGTTATGTTGTTCCAACTTCTTCTTTTTTTACCTGTGTTAGTGACATTAACTGAAATTTATGTGTTGCCGCATACGAGAAAAGGAAGCAATAACTTTAGACACACACAAAAATAGCAACAACAAAAGCCGAAAAACGCACACAGATGAAAATGGAGAGAAATTTAATCTCACATCAAAGGGAATAGTCGGAATAAAATACTGACCACTACAAACAAAAAACAAGTTTAAAAGAGGGATTCCATTTGTCTAGGAGCATGTTCTAGATATTTAATATTTTTTATAATTTTGACATATTTCCGTGTTTTAATATATTTTTATTTAAAATTCAGATAGTTTTATAAAAAAAACTTCACCTACAATTGTCAAATTGATACACCATCAGCCATTGGTCTTTATTGGAATTTATCTAAACAAAAATATATCACCTTATAAGTTCTCATAATCTGTGTAATTGTTGATAAATTTTCTATTTGAAAACTACGAAATAATATTCTTAAAAAACTCATATAGATTAAACAAACAAAATATTTCCATAACTGACGAACTACTAAAAAACTGGACTATTTGAATGAATAGAAGCGCAGTAAGAAGAAAACATAATAATTGAAATATATAAAGAATTTTCCATTGTGTTTGAAATATGCCAAAGAGTAATTTTCAGATTTATTTCACAAGAAAAAAAAAACGTACAACGATGTTGAACAATCAACAAAAAAGTGTTCCATTTTGATTTATTTTACAGAACTGTTTCTTTATTCTTCTTTCGAAACTATGGTAACACATTTCTTTAGGCTTCTTTCTTTAGGACAAAAATCGGAGCATTCATATTTGACTTGGAAAACAACATGTACTGCACATTCACACTGAGGGATTTCCCTTGTTTTCGTTCAACAGAAATTGTTTCATTTTAACAATTGTTATGGAAAGCAAACAAAACGTATCGCATCCATCATACGCATTGTATTTCATATACATATGAAAAAACATGTGCCTAAAAGCGTTACGATATTTTTTTTCATCAGCTTACATTTGTCTTGAAGGTAAACACTTGAGTAATTCTGTGAAATATTTCTTGGCAATTGTTTTTTGTTTTTCCTAAGGATTGAATTTATGATTTTATTGCGATTGCTTTTATCCTAGAGATTACAGTCCGATGAAGCAATGATCTACTAAAAATAAATCTACCAATGAAAATATTTGATCGTATTTTATATACAAGCGGCTGCAGATATGATTATTAGCATTCTTCAGAAAATGCATTGAAGACTTCAATAGAAGAAAAACTGGCAGAAAAATACTTTCTAATGTTATTTTTTCTATGTTTGTTGCCTTCTTTAGAGATATACTTCTGACTTCCCATAGAAGAATACTTTGTGATGTATAAAATAATACTTTGTGATGTATAAAATAATACTTTGTGATCTATAATATAATAATTTCCTATCCCTTTGAAGACTCCCTGTTTTTTTTTTCATAAAAAAAAAGATTTCTTTATGATATTCTGATTTTTCAAAGAAGGCGGGTCTTCAACAAACGAATATATTCTGGTCTATGAACAAAATATACATTGCAAATAAGAACGAGATTCTTCAAGGGAAGGACAGATGTTGTCTATAATAACAGGAAGGATTTTAAATACCTTCTGATCTTCTATAGAAAAATATCATATGAGTTTATATAGGATAATACCTTCTGCTGCTGTATATTGATTTATAGCTTCTAATTTCACACGTTACGAGACATTGTATTAATCAATAGATGATGACTTCCGATCTTATATAGAATATCTGGCATGGTCTTATGGTATTCTGCGGGCCTTCTGTAGAAAAAATAGCTTTTTGTCATTTCTGAATCATCCTTTTTGGCCTTCTATAGAGTAACATATTTTGGGATTTAAATAAAGAATTTAAACAAAATCTAGTCTTCTGCACAACCTTGTAGTTTTTTTTGTAGAAGAATACCTTCTGCTCTTCAAAATAACACAAAATAAGTAAGGCAGGGTAGAGCGCTACCTAGAAAAAATTGCAATTTTAAATAAGCAAGGACTTCAACCACTGTACAGAATTCAAGAAGGCGTTCTATCTAGGCAACGATAGATGGCTTCCCAATTACCTAGGACAAGCTGCAGCAGACCAAGTTAGCTGGAGCAAAACAACAAAGATGAACGAAACAAAAAGAAAAAACTAATTGAGTAAGGTGACGATGATCTGTGGAAGACCTATGCTCCCAAGGAGAGTAACATGAGAAAAATGAAGGCCGTGCATCTGTGCAGCATTCGTAAAAATGGGTTTCAAGTTTTGAGGAGCCCATCGTCTCCGTTTGGTTTACAGAAATCTTTTAATTTTCGACAAAAGATTGTCATTTGAAGTTTATACCTTCTGGTTTTATATGGAACTATAGAATAAGAATTTTTCGTCTTTCAGCTTATTTATAAAAGCGCCTAGACCGACAGACCGCCTGTAAAACACATGGATTCCAGGTTCCACCTATGAACGCTTACCACCCCTATTGTCTAACGTGGGAGAAAACAAGCGCGTATTAATACCTGTTTCACTTTTTCACCACCCACCTCTTCTCGCCTATAAAGATTTAGATTAATCTTGAAAAGTAAAATCCTTAACATCAGCTTATATATAAATACTGTCTGAGGTCCAGTATGTCTTTTACGGTTGTTTCAAATTAATTAAAAAGCAGAATTCAGTTTTTGGTAACCGGAATGTTGGGGTCCCCTTAAGATTCCCTGAGTCCTCTAATTTCACTTCCATTCGTCCATTAAAATTTAATTCCGACTATCGTATATAAACTTTTTTTCACCTCTTGAATAAAGACTCCTGTTATACCTAATATATGGATTGCCCAGATTTCAGTTCATTTTTAAATAATGTCTTCTGTTTGTAAATAATATATATAAATAAACTACTAGCTTCAGCTCGTCTTTAATGACTCCCACCTTAGCTCTATTAGGAATCTAGCTATCTATAAACACTCTATTTAGTTCGTCAATTAAAGACTTCGTTCAGTTCGTCTATGAATCCTCCCTACAGATCGTCTATAGAAGATACCCTTCGTTCTATAGAAAACTTCCTTCGGGTCGTCTACTATTTGTATTTCCCAGACTAGAGTTCATTTTTAAATAATGTCTTCAGTTGATAAAAAAAGACGCTCTGAGTTCTTGGCTGTATAGTAAGATTCCAAGCTTCAGATTGTCTAC